TCAAATTCCAAATAAAACAGTTAAAGGAGCTGACAAATGTCGAAGTTCCATTGTTGTGTGGAGGAACTCCTCCTCAATTTTAAGTAGCCAAACAAATATTTAAATTACACTCAATAAAAAGAAGGTAATATAATAAGAGCAAGCAACATAGTAATTAATAACTACTAAATAAATAAATAAAATACTCTCATATTTTTCTCCCACTAATCCATCTTGCCTTTCTTCTCGACTTTCCAAGCAATAACTCTCACATGCATACCATAACATGTGCCAAACTACTAGTAAAAAGGTAAACAAAAGCAATAGAATTAAAGTTAAATTGCTCTCAATCTATGTATTTCCAATTTTAAACCCAGCAAGTCATGTCCCGACCAGTCACATATACATTCCCTTCTTAGGAGAAAATATCAAGTGAATCCGTAAGCTCGCTTTGCAGAGTCAAGGGTGTTGCAGAGGAGCATTGAGATTACAACAGGTCCAACTCCTCCTGGCACAGGAGTTATGGCTGACACCACCTTAATTGCCTCTTCATAGCAAACATCTCCGGTGGTACGGAACCCTCGGGGACTATTGGGATCCTGCATATTATGACACATCCATCATGACAAAGCAAGCCCAAGAATTCAAACCAAATACGCAGACAAGTTTATATCCTAATGAAATATCACTGTATTTCTTTATTGGCATGCAAAAACACACGTTTACAAATTTGACATGAGATGTGGCGGTGAAAATTGATTTTCCTTGATGGCTTCTGTACTTGTGATATAACATTGAAGACTCTATGTAATGCATTGTTTTTCTTGGTACTTACCATGCAATACAATATCTGTCCATATGCCAAAACAAATTGGTGCTGCACATCGAGAGAACAAGATCAATGCCCTCATTGAGAAATGGCTTTCTCATTGAGCACATTGCAGTCCGGTTTGTCTATTAATAATGGGAAGCGAACATGGATTACCACTTACCCTCTGCTATTTAAAATCCTTGACATAACATACTTGATGTTGTATAGTTGATTCAAAACAGCACAAACCATCGGCACTTCTAGCTCTAAACTGTAAACTTTAGGGTTAGGGGTTGATGTGAAACTGAGGAGTCCAATTAGGGTTTGGCTTATGAAAGAATTTGGGGGTAAATTAGGGATCTAGGACAGGTGAACCAGATCTACTAAGAATGAGAAATTCAATTGGATATCAGGCAATTCAGAGGGCAAGTAGGACAAAGAAATGAAGGCAACTGAGAAAAATAAGAAAGACGGGAAAGACACAACAATGCATACACTTGTGCATAAGCATGTTGTAGTCTTTATCAACATTTAGACTAACACCTCTAGATAATAATATCCTAGTCTTTAATAGTAGGTAGCTATGCCTTGAAACACAACTAGCCTAATTTTACATCAAAATTCATTTACTACAAAGAACAAGAGATCACAAGCTTATTTGTAGACTTCGGCTGGTTAATAATAAATCCTAGTCCTTAAAAATCAAACTAATCATGACCATCCTTTAAAACCCTATAAAAAACACAAAGACCCAGAATACACTTACTAATAGTAACATACTCCTATGGCCATGCAAAGTCACTTTGTTTTAATGACACTGTCATTTCCAATATTAAATAAAAATAACAAGCATTTTTACAATTTATCAAAGACAACCACTGAAGGAACAAAACTCTTGTAAGTTAGAGGTCTAGGGCCTATGTAAAGGATAAATTTTCTCAAACCAAGTTATGGCCGCAGTTTTCTATACTACTCATGTGGTTCTGGTTGATTTACATATTAATAGATGTTCAACAATACAGTAACTAGTGACAGTTAGGTAATATAGTAATAGTGACAACTAATGGTTAGAAGGTAAGGCATAATTAAGGATATAGTCCTAGCTCCAACCCCTAATGCAATGATACGACTAAAGAACTTATATGAAACTTCTTCTAAATATGTGGATGAGTAAACTCTTACACTCTTTGGAATTTAGACTTGCTTTAGAGATTAACGTCTACTCTAGATGGATATTGATTCAGTCCACCATCAGGCCTTCAAAAGTACTTTTCTACATTTAATGAAACAATAAATATCATTATGGTCTAATACAGTCATGACTCATCTGAGGCTGAAGCAGTTGAGTCTTCCTTTATGACCACACATGATTAAAGAAGGTAAAATCTGATAGATACAAATTCTTATGATCATACAAATCTAGTTTCTCTAGCAAAATTCTATTTTTAAAATGCATTTTGCGGGAGGGGATTTTGAAGTAATATATACTTTCAATGTTCCGTTTTGGACAAAAGATATAGAATAAAAAGATTTGGGATACTTTTTTCCAATGCGCCCTCCAATGCTGGTGCATTGAGTATTTTATGGTAATCGCAACCAGAAATGACTGCTTTCTTGGCAGATGAACAGTAGTTTGTTCCTTTGTTATTGCACTTAAATGGACAGGAAAACTTACCAAACTTCACAACAACCTAAGAAAGAAATGTTTATGACTGTGCACAGATATAATCCTCATTTGATCTGAAAGTTAGATAGAAACAAGATAATTTACCTTAACTGAATTTGTCCCCATGTCGACTACAACTGCCCCTGGCATCAGCCAATCGCATCCGACTATATTTGGAATGCCAACATCTGATACAACAATATCAGCTCGACGAGTAATTTGTTCTGGGTTGTTGGTGAATGAATGGAGAGTGCTAACCGTCGCGTGGTGCCTCTGTCCAGGACTAATGGAGCATCATTGAAAAATTATTCAAACATTATGATGTCTATACAGTAGAGAACAAAAATATGTGTCACCTGCAAGAGGAAAGAAGTGGATAACCCAGCAATCTTGCTTCTCCCTATTACCACTGCATTCTTCCCAATGATCTCCACACGATATCTGAGCAACAACTCAATGCAAGCCTTAGGGGTACAAGGGATGAATAACGGCTCCCTTCCCCGCAATGCAAGATTCCCCATATTGAGGGGATGAAAGCCATCCACATCTTTTTCCGGACTCACGAAATTTATAATCGTTTCCTCATCCAAATGCTGAATCAAACAAGTTAATGTACAATATTTTTAGAAACCCAAAAAGCCAAAACCAAATCACATGACTAGAACTAGAAGAAATTAAGAATACAAAACCCAATTTGAAGCAATAATTCTAAATTAACTCCAAGGAGTTGGTACCTGTGGCAGAGGAAGTTGAACAATTATACCGTGCACAGATGGGTTGCTGTTAAAACTTGAAACAACATCAATAAGTCGATCTTGAGTACAATCTTGAGGCAGTTGTACAAAGGAAGTTTCAATCCCAACTTCATTACAAGCTTTTAACTTCATATGGACATAAGCGTGTGAGTCCTCTCTGTAGCCCACCAAAACCACAGCCAACCCAGGAAGTCTTCCAATGGCAGCTTTCATTCTGCTTATTTCAGCAGCTACTCTCAAATTTATGTCTCTTGCAATTGGCTTTCCGCTCATTATTTCAGCAGCACTCCGAGTCTGCCCTGTAGCTCCTGTTTTCACAGCTTTGGATACAACAACAATCAACAACCACTCATTCAATCATTCAATCAGTCAATCAATGAAGCTAAAACAGACATTTTTTATGAGCTGAGGAACATAAATGTGGTGTAGAAATGCACTTACGGTGAAACCCAGATGAGAGGGGACGATGGGAGGTTTGGGTGGGAACCCAAATGTGAGGGAGAGTGAGAGGGCTTGAACATGGCGGTGAGAGCGTCGCTGAGTAAAAGGCTTTGCCTTTGGTCCCCAATCTGTGCCAGAAACCCACCATAACGCCACTACCTCTTATCCTCGATCTTCATACTCTCCTCTTCTTCATATTCTTGATTATCAATATATACAGACAAAATAAAACCACTAGTTGTTGTAGCTTGTTTTATTTATTGATCAAGTGGGAATTTGTACACAGAATTTCGGATATTATGAAAATGTGAGTTTCTTCTGTTAATGCCTTAAAAATTCTTTTATTTTTTTTGGATTAAAAAAATTTTCAAATTCAAAAAGATATGGTTAGCTAAGAAACGAAACCACATATGTTAAGGCAGTGACTCCGTGACAACAACAACAACCAAAAAAAAATAAAAAATAAAAGGGTTAAGTCAGTGAGTCCACTTTTGCACTTGAGACGAGACTTGAGTTCGATCTCTCTTCTCATGTAGATTGGTTAGACATTTTTTTTTGGGTCAAAAACAGAAACCATTTGTTAAAACTCAAAAATGGCTTTTATTTTCACGGGATGCAAGCATATCAAGTTTTCCCTTTCATAAAACTAAAATGAAAAGAACAAAAAACAAAAACTGTCAATTGACACAAGCGCTCTAGTATATATAAAGGGAAAAACTTTGGTGAAATATTTAAAATCCCAAAATACTCTTAACTAATTAAAATGTTAAGGAAGAAAATAATATATTAAATGAGGATAATATTAGTAAATTTAAATATTTTAATTTAGTAAAAGAGGATAATAATAATAATATTTGTACAATATTTACGGACTACATTGCTGACTATCTCTCTGTAATAAAAATATGTCCCATATACAAAATAGATTTTATTTGTTTAACAAAAAAAAAAGGCTAATTGACATGTGTGATGCGCGTGCCAATGTACTAGTTTTGTTTTAGGCGACCGGCTGAGAGCCATCCCATAGTTCATTTTGGGCTGATTTTAAAGGGTATGGTCAAAAAAGACAGAAGAGAGGAGAAGAAGAAGAACCAACCAAAGAGAAAAAGAAAAAGGGGAGGAGCCGCCTCAAAGGGCGGCTGGGAAAACCTCCAGTCACTCGAAAGAAGGAAATGAGGGAGATAAGACTACAGAAAAGGCAGAGCCTCTATGTTTAAACACTCTCGGTTAAGAAAAGAGTAAAGTAGAGACTTGTCATGTGTATTAAAGGAAAATCCTTCTTTACCACCTTTGAATCCCCCATTTGTCCTAAAAAGAGACAAGGATCATACATGCTCATGCTAATTACTAAATTCTCAAGTCCAATAAATGGTTTTTCTCGCTTTTTTCTGTTTCATTGTAGTTGTTCAAAATATGTGACATGCATAATGCAGAGAACAAAACCTGAAACAATATCCTTTTTGGCTCCATAAAGAAGTCCGACTGCATGTACATAATGCAGAACAATATTCAACAATCTAACACAAAACAAACTGCAACTGCCTTTATTCCACATAACTACTCCGCCATAATTGTCATCCGCTGAAAGATGGTTTCAGCAACACCAAAATCCAAATACGATGCATATCTAATGTGAGTTCTGACTCTCTTCCAATATTTCAAGATCGGGTTCTGCATAATGAGTTTCTGTTTCATCTATCCCATTGATTAATTTACTTGAAGTTGATGCCCTTGCAGTTGTGGTCACGTCTGTGGAAGTAGAAGAATCAGCTTTGGTACATTCCCCATGAGCCATGGCAACATGAAGCTGATGATCATCCGCTGTAGGGGGATTAATCTGCTCAAAGGTTTTCTCACCAACAAGAATACTCACAACGTCTGCCATTCTTGGCCTTAAAGTAGGAGATATATTCGTGCACATCACGGCCAAGGTTAAGATGGTGATGGCTTGTTTTGCATCATAAATACCGGACAAATTTTTATCCACCAAGTCCACGAGGCTTCCATTTTTATATGCAACATAAGCCTGCGGTAAAATGATGTGGGTTTAGAATTCAAAGTGTGCATGTTCACTTTAAAGTAGGAGGAATTACAAAATACCGTACGTCCTGTCAGTTTTACTTACCATGTCCAAGAGATACTCACTCTCATGGTTAAATTTGTATCCTGCATTTTTCTTCCCACTAACAATTTCGAGTATAACCACCCCAAAACTGTAAACATCAACTTTGCTTGTTACAAAACCTTGAACTACATACTCAGGTGCCATATGTCCGCTGCGTCAACAACAATAAAGCATAAATTCAAATTATATTTGCATAATGCACCCGTAAAGTTGAATTTCATGTATTATTTTATACAGAGTTTCAGAAAGTGAAAGGTATTTGTTTTTTGTACACTTACTTTGGTGCTTCCACTTTGATGATCATAAGTTGCTCTTCCTCGGTATACAGGCTTGCCATTCCAAAGTCTGAGATCTTAGCATTAAGAGCTCCATCAAGGAGGATATTTTCAGCTTTGATATCCCTATGAACCATCTTGAGTCTAGGGTGCTCATGAAGATGATCTAAACCCCTTGCTATTCCCAGGCAAATGTTAAATCTATTTTCCCAATTAAACTTCAATCTGGACTTCGAGCCTGCAAGTCACATGAATGATGACCGCTTTAGCATTCTATGCATATATTCCTCCAGTTTAGTCTAAACCGTAAACAACTTTGTTTTTGTCATAAACACTGTATCAGCACAGAAAACACAAGTCACTACAACAGAAAAACCACAGCTGATTTGCATCATGGAAGGCATTTAATGACTCAGGGTAAGTATCGTAATATGCGTCGTCGAATGGGGGGTCGTGGAAAGTTTTCTCAAAAGACGACATCTGGTATGCGTCACCTAATAGTATTTCGATGGTATTTCAATGACAAGTGAGTACCGGATCTTATTTCTTAATATAAAAGCAATACATGGTAGGAAGAGGAAAATGTTGGCTAAGCTCAAACGAATGTAAGTATCTCCATTTGTACACAAAAGGAGGAAGTATACTGCTCCTATAATATAGAATAAAACAATATGATGTTGTGCTTGAAAAATTAGAAAAGAGAGGAGAAAAGATGAATTACCAAAAAAAGCGTCTGCAATGGACAGGTTTGGCATATATTCATAGATGAGCAAATGCATCTCTTCTCCAAAATAAGCATCCAACAATTGAACAAGGTTCTCATGCCTGAATGACTTTAAGGCATAGAATTCATTTAATAATTCCTCAACTTTTTCTTTTGAGTGAGTAGAAAGTCTTTTAACAGCTACAGTAGTTTGACCACCTTCCAGTTCAGCCTGCATCAACACAATAGACAAATGTTATATATCTGAATAAATTTGCAACATTCAAAAGATACCCCACCCTAATATCAAATTTCTGCCACAAATTAAGTTCACAATGTAAAAGCATACCTTATAAACCCTTCCAAAATGCCCTCTACCGATCTCCATTTTGCTGCTAAACTTTCGAGTTGCACCTATTAATTCTTGAAGGGTAACATGTTTATCTTGGCCTATCCGTATTTCTGTTCCGGGAAAAATCAAAGATGACATGTTAACTAGGAAAGAATTCTTGAAAAAGGGCATGGTGCAGTGTAGTTGTAGCTTCACTCACCTATCAACTCTCTTTTCCCCAGCCAGCCCATTTTCCACATGAAAGCTAATAGAAGCAATAGAACAACTACACTTGAAGGTAGAGTAATAATCAATGCTTTCTTCAATTTTCGCCACAATGCAGAGCGTTGGGGATCTTCGAAGTGATATTTCATCGAAGGAGGGGATAACAGCAAGAGAAAAGTCAAACTTCTTTGAAAGATTGTCAAATTAATTCAGTATATATGCTGTCTAACAGGATTAAACTAATTAACTGAAATGAAAACTGCCTGCTTGCAACCTTGAAGCACACATGAGGGCCATATAAGCCAAGGGGTTCAACTGTAGCTTGGAACCAACCAGAAGAAACTAAAGTCATAGCCTTTTGAATCACCTGGAGTTATGGAAATAGCAGAAATAAGAGGTCCATTCAGAGTAGGCAGGTCGTCTGTACTTCCCTTTCCAGCCCAGTAGAAGGAGATCTTCAATACACTATCATCAACATCAGCTATGAAATATCTGGTTAGAGTTCTATCTGGACCCCTTGCCTCTTTTGCGATGTCGAAATTCATTAGCTTTCTCTCATCCTACAACAAACGCTTCTCATATAAAGATTTCAGTTGATGGTACTCAATTTAGTGACAAATAATTGAATGACATCAGCTCTTAATTACCTGGATATAAACGTCAAATACCCGTCTCTTTAGTTTACTATATGATTCCTTCTCCCTGAATACTATTTCAGCAAAGTGAAGGGTCACGTTATATTTGCCTTTCTGTAAGCAGAAAGCATAATAACTTAGGAAGACAGGGGCAATCCGAGCATTTAAATATAAGTCTGACTCAGCAACATGAATTCCACATGACTGGGTCTGTATGAAATTACTAGAATTTGAATCCGGTGATAAGAAGTCTCCAGAAAGGCTATAACCCCAGGTTTTGGAAGGACTAATATAATAGAGTGAAGTTGAGTTATCTGCTTCATAATACTCGTCACCAACAGTTAATTCCTCACCACCACAATTTATAAACAAGGAACGAGCTGCAAATGTTAGTCAGAAAGGGATTGTTAAAGTTCAGATTATGCTTATGTAACCAATCATTTACAAAATTCATACTCTCTTATCATGCTTTATAAAACTATTACAAACTTCTTCCTAGAGATAATATACAAGTCCTCACCAGACAAAATGACATGGTTGAAGTACTTAACGTTGCTGTTTTTTGTCTTTTATTTAACGGTGCCAATTTTCAGGAATCCTTTAGGTAAAGTTGTGTGTGATTGTATACACGTCTGAAGAACCAACCAAACTCACATTTAGATTTTCGTCCAGGACAATGCGTATGCATGCGTTTCTTTGGATCCCTGAATAAACCACCGAATTTGTAAGAAATGGCCCTTGGCTTTTCTTATACTAGAACAGATAAAAATATTAACATACACAAACAGTTGATCTGGATCGGTTGAACTTGAACTGCTGCAGCAGGCAAACAAGTTCCTGAAATGTATGGAAAACGATCTCATCATAATTCCACATGCAACTAGATTGGTAGCAACAGAAAAAGAAAATTAATGCCAATTCTTACAGATGATCTCGCTTATGCACTCCGAAGCTAACTTCTGAAAAGCTGTTGTACGACAGATCCCTGAAAAGACATGTGGTCAAATATCATAGCTAATGGAACGTGGGAACATAATACGCTCCTAGAAAATGATGGTGGCTTAGATAAGGATTTTTCTTCTGCATATCATTAAGCATTCCGGTGTCAAATCGAAGTAGCTGTCTGATGAAAGAAGTATTCTAGTATCTAAATTACTGAATGACATTTTGTAGAATGGTCATTTCACAACAACTATTCATATAAATATTTCATTGCATTGATATGATTGAAGTTAAGAAGACACTCAAATATCAGCTCAAAATTAATATACTCCATATAATGACTTTTTGACCTTGCTAACGTGATTCTTCTTGTCACGCACTAAATTACATCCTAGTGGTAGGTCCATATATACTTCTTCTTCCAAGTCTCCATGTAGGAATGCATTTTTGACATCAAACTGATGTAATGGTCAATCGAGATTTGCTGCTAGAGACAATAGAACTCTGATAATGTTAATCTTGACTACTAGGGCAAAGGTCTCAGAATTCAAATAGCGCCTTTTTGGTGTTAATCAAGTGCACAATGGCTTTAAGAAACCAGCATTACTACTGACAACTGTCACTTAGGGCCAGTCCTAAGATTTTGAGGGCTCTATGCGAAACTTAAACAGGGACCTCACATAATCTAATATAAAAATGCGAAAGAAAATAGAAAATTTGCCATGACTTAATACCTTAAAACAACTTTTTTAACAACTAAAATTCATCATCAATTATCATACAATGATAATAATAAATCAAATTTATAAGAGTTTTAATGTTTCAATTTGAGAACAAAGAAGAGGAAGAAGAAGATAATAACTTTTTATTTTATTTTCTTTTGAGTGGGTGAAAACATATATATATATATATATATGTTTTTTTTGGTTAATTGGAGAAAGCGTATATATACTGCTTGTGTGTATTTATGTTGATAGCAATTAAAAAAGAGTAAAAATGTAAAAATACAACTTTTGAATGACATATTCATTTGGTAAGTTTGTAGTGAAATCCAATCATTAAAACTGTGCAATGTTCCAATCACAGTACAAACTTGAAGTGTCCAATTTCTTTGACCAATTGATTTCGGATCTGGCCCAAAACTTGGCCAACATCATAATATGGTCAAAGGATTCATTTGGTAAGTTTTTAGTGAAATCCAATCAATAAAATTATGCAATGTTCCAACCACTTGATAAACTTCGCAAGAACTTCGTACGAACATGAAGTGTCCAATTTATTTGACAAATTGATTTCAGATTCACTCCAAAACTTAGGTAACATCATAATATGGTGAGAGTCATTTGGTGAGTTTTTAGGAAAATTGAGGCAATGAAGACCAAACAAAACCAAATATACAGTTGTGTTATTTTTTTACACGCTTAAATATATATAATACTTGTAATATTAATATATTAATATACAAGTCAAAAAATTTCGAGGCCCTTAAAAATCAGAGGACCTGTGTGGTGGCACCACTTGCACACCCTCAGGGTCACCCCTACTGTCACTGAAAAAGATAACTACGATGCTACCAACAATTCCTCATTATAGAGAGTACGTACTTCCTAAATAGTTTCCTTTTATTTGCTAGGCTGTTACATGGTTCTTTCATATATGTATGCGCACACAAGGTTTACTACCGCATGTAAACAACCAGACTGATACATACTCCGTCCAACTGAAGGCGAATCCAGCATATTTGAATTTGCCATCAATTGCAGGTTCAAAAAGCAACGATCCTAATTCTAATAGTGAACTTGAGTCATAAACATCTTTATAACTGGTCTTACTTTAATCCCAAAGGTGTTAAAGGAAATTATGAGATACTAAGCTTTCTGGCAATCATTGTTGAAGAAATAAAGATCAATTCTCAAGATACTAAGCTTTCGGACTTACTTGACAGCCAATGCATGAAGATAAAAATAACTGTACATATATAGTTTAAGATTTTGAATACAGAAGCTTACAATCTAGTCTTGACTGCACCAACCCAAGCAGGGATTGTATCATTAAGTTTATTTTTTGCTAAGGACCTGAGGAGAGAGAAAGTTAATAATAGAATACTAACATCAACAAGAGTTCGGTTGTCTTTTGTGTAGCAAAAACACACGAATAACATTCACTTACAAGTGAGTTAAATTTAAACCACTCATGGATTGTGGGATTCGTCCGGTTAATTTGTTAAAGCTCAAATCCCTGTTAAGAATACATAGAGGCATTAACAACTTGGGAACTTAATTAACTAGTCTGTGAGATAAATTGTACCGAAGTACATTCAAAAGCAGGAATTGAAACAAATCAGTAAACCATTACTCTAGGGACTTGAGAAGGTGTTGTGTGTGTTGTGTGTGTGTGTGTGTGTGAGAGAGAGAGAGAGAGAAAGAGAGAGAGAGAGAGAGAGAGAGACTCACAAGTATTCTAAATTTGACATTTTACCAATGTATTCAGGGATTTCACCAGTGATGGAACAGTTCCTTAATATCCTATAGAAACCATGAGAAGAGGTGAGTGAGTGGATACATTATGAACATGAGATGTTTACATCTAGTGATGCAGTCTGCATAAGACATTCTGCAACTTAAAGAAATGTTGGGTTTTGTCCTAGCACAAAGACTCTTGCAGAGCAAAATAAAGCTTGCTTGCATAGTTCATTATGCTGGTAAAAGTTTAAATCTGGCCAGTTAACATTTTTTTTGTATTCAACCTCTTTGGCTTTTAAAATGAATAGATGTGTGCGTGCGACATGTAATAAAACCATTTACAGAGTTTCTATATTGCTCAGGTTCGCAGATCGTGGGAATTGGAAACCAGAGTTTGCTACGTCACTGATCGTTCTGCAAAATGGACACAAAAAATTCATCACGAAAACAGAGCTACTGATTTATTTTTATTTTTATATTTTTCCTGAAAAAGTGGGTTAATGAAACAGAAGGGGACGGTGTACTTACAAATACACAAGATCGGAGAAACTAAAAAGTTCTGCAGGTAGACTCCCTTCAAAATTGTTTCCCAAAATTGACCTGTGAGCAGTGCAGAGTGATATGAAATTCAGATGTATGACATCTTATCAACTTTGACAATTCATTTTGTCAACGTCTCTATGAGATTTCATAGAGTAGAAGCTTAAAATGTAGAACTTAATTTGTAAGGACTTGTTATACTATTTTAATTAGAATTTCTAACTCTATTCCCAAAGATACAAATTGCATGCAGCAACGTAAAGGAAAACTTACAGATGAGAGATTAGGGTGCAATTTCGGATGAAGTCAGCTGGAAAGGGACCAGACATATAGTTGCCAGATATTGAACTGCATTGGCCGATTAGGCTCTCTCAAATATTAATAAATTCACCTTATTGTGGATTGCAGGCATCAAGAACATAAAATAAAGAAGAATTAATCCTGCTGCAGTCACCAAATTCCTTTACCAAATTTTTTTACTCAAATGACGTGGCATTATTAAAGATTGGCATACTAAAGATGTGCATCGAGTAAGATTGGCATTATTAAATGAGAAACACTTACAATTCGTTCATCTGAGTAAGATTGGCATAATCCGGGAATTCCCCAGTGAGATCATTGGATGTCGCACAGCTTCCACAACATGAGAATAAAACAATGTAATCCCAGTAGAGATTTAAGTACCAAAATTTTCTCCTTCTTTTCTCATGATATATATATATATATATATATATGTAACTTTGTTTCAAAGAAGCTTACAAGTATTGGAGATTGCTCAAATTACTAAATGAGGGTGGAAGACGACCAGAGAGTCGATTCTGATCCAAAATTCTCAAAGCATAAAAAAAAGGAAGACGAATTCAGATATTTGTTTTCAGTAGAAAGCTTTAGCCTTTAGAATATATGTACATAATTTTTCTCTCTGTATGTGTGTGTGTGATGGGGAGAGAGAGAGAGTGTGTGTGTGATGGGGAGAGAGAGAGAGTGTGTGTGTTGATCATAAGGTGCAACAAAGGCGAGCAAAGAACTTACAATATTTGAAGGGCTGTGATGTTTCCTAATTGGTTGGGAATTGGACCTGACAACTCATTATAAGACAGAGACCTGCAAAACTCACAGATTATAAAGAAGAATTTGAAACGTTATACAAAGGAACCAACTGATCATATCAAGTCAAAAAAAAGTCGAAGAATTCAGTGCAATGGTGAAAACAAGTTGCAGAGAGTTTACTTACAACGTGTGCAGAGAACGCAGAGCACCCAAAGATGATGGTATCTGTCCGGTGAGGAAGTTGTGACCCAGATAGCTTTTTGGCCAGAAAACAATGGAGCTAAATTATTAGATGTTATGTTAAAGCTCGGAGAGGAGTAGGAACAGATTAAACTTAAAGTCGAGTTAAGCCGAGTTGCAAGAAATACTGAAATTAGATATAGATTTATACAAATTACAACATAGAATTCAAGATTAGATAGAAAGTCAGCCCATGTAAGAAAAAAGGAGGAGGAAAAAACCATGTTTAAATTCATTGAAGTTAATTGAACCTTAAATTCTTATCTCTTTTTTTTTTTTTTGGGTAAAAAAACCTTAAATTCTTTCAATAGATTTTCCCTTAAAACACATGCCGATTCCACACTCCACACCTACAATGACCAAAACAAGAATAAGTCTGACTTAACAGTTGACGCTGTACATTCCTTGATTCGGTTTCTCTAAATCCCAAAGAAAAAACTCCATAGAGGGGGAGAGGAAGCATCACTGCCCCTCTTCCCTTCTCCTCTCTTCTTTTACTTTTTTATTATTTATTTTTATATTTTGAATTTATAGGCTTTATTTATTTGAGATTATGTTTCATTGTACTTAGTGATGTGAGTTAGTAGTTGTTGGTGTACCTGCTTTAATTTGATTAAAAACAGATTTGGGGAAAATCTCAAATTTAAGGGTTAAGTACCCAAAAAGGAGCTGTGAAGTAGTTGGGAAAGAATTTATCCCCACACTCAATTGATGTGAGTTATAGTAGTTGTTGGTCTCCCTTGTAACCAAAGCAAAAAAGAAAAAAGAAAGAAACCAATATTGAATATATACTTACAGAATAGTAAGATTGCGCAAGTGTCCAATGCGCCCTGATATGCCTCCTGTCAGTTGATTTCTTGAAAGGTCTCTGAATATATGAAAACTTAATTAATATGCATTCATATAAATTCAATAAATATGTATATGTTTTGAGGTAAGGTCTGGCTCTCAAGTGAATCCTTATCTATATACACTTACAATCGTGTGAGGGATGACAAATTCCACAAGGTATCAGGTATGGAACCGGTAAGCTTATTGCTGGATAAATTACTGTTCAAGTATATAGAATCAACATTAATATTTTCATATAATACAAGCAATGGATTCATCGTGAAAGAAGAATGGAAGAAAATTAAATTGTATACCAATTTAATATAATAAATAAATAGGAAAATTAAATTGTATACCAATTTAATACAATTTATAAATAAGAAATTAAATTGTATATATCTAGTGGCTTGGTTTTTCGAGAAGGAGCTGCGAAAGTAGTTGGGAAAGAATTTATCCCCACACTCAATTGATGCGAGTTATAGTAGTTGTTGGTCTCCCTCGTAACCAAAGCAAAAAAGAAAAAAGAAAGAAACCAATATTGAATATATACTTACAGAATAGTAAGATTGCGCAAGGATTCTATGCGCTCTGATATGCCTCCGTTTAGTTGATTCATTGAAAGGTCTCTGAATATATGAAAACTCAATTACTGTGTATTCAGATAAATTCAATAAATATGCATGTTTTCGGGTAAGGTTTGCCCCTCAAGTGAATCCTTAAGTACTTATCTATATTTATGTATACACACTTACAATTGTACGAGGGATGACAAATTACACAAGGTATCAGGTATGGAACCGGTAAGCTGATTGCCGGATAAATCACTGTTTAGCATATAAGCATACAAAATCAACATTAATCTTTTCATATAATACATGCAATGGATTCATCGTTAAAGAAGAACATAAGAAAATTAAATTGTATACCAAGTTAATATACTTAATAAATAAGAAAATTAATATATTTAGTGGCTTGGTTTGTAACATCTCTTACTCAATTTAATCGATTTAATTCTTTTGAAATTACAATTTTACCCTTGGGAGTGGGGGTACTTTGGTCACTTTTTAATCCAGAAGGATGTTGGGGAAATGAGTGGCACCATTGCCTAGAGCTCGCTCTCACGAGTTCGTAAACATGTAGTGGGGCCAAATTGGAGTTTTAACGAAGAAGTTGTGGTTAAAGGAAGTGCAGTGGCACAACCGTAAATATTTCAAAGTTGGATTTTTAAAACAAACCAGTCTCTCTCTCCCCTTCATCTCTCCCCGACGTTGTCTATCTCTATGCACACAGCAGCAATTTTTAGACAGCAATTCATCGCCGTCCGATGTCCAATTCGAGTTTAATTGGTTGCAAAAGTTTCGTATTGATGTCCTCTATCTAACCCACCCATTTTCCCATCTAAAAAACCCAAGGAAATTAAACTAGAATGACTGGAAGTTCGGGTGATTTTCAAAGTTTCCGACGTCGTTTCCGGTGACTCCAACTGCCATTTTCATCGAGTGAGGCTGAAGTTGACGCGAACCAAGCAGTCAGGCCGAGCCTTCCTCCTCTCGTGCCTCTGCTTAATTGTAGGACACTTGTCCATTCTCTTGAAACTTTTATTTTGGCTGTTTAACTAGAGATTCTTAGACTGCTTTGATATTTCCCGTGTAGGGTTGAAGTTAAGACCGGAGGCCTATTTTGTAATCTTTGTGTTGTTGCTTTGTGTTGCTTGTAGTTGGTATTCTTTTTCTCTTGTTCTTTACAGGTTGAAAATTTTGGTAAAATCCGATTTTCAAGAGAGACTCTGCCGAAATTTCAGTTGAAGCCTCGGCTTTCTTTTCCTTTGTTTTAGGGGAAAAGGATGTTTGAAATTAGTAAGTGGGCTGGGCATCGGTTGGATGTCCGAAAAACCACAGGATTTGTCACGGATTCTGAGGAATTCGAGGCAGGTTCTGTCATGGTTTCCCTCTTTCGTGACAATTAATAGAAGGGATCGGTTGAAAGAGTTTTTTTAAAAAGAAAGATGTAAAATATCTAAGCTCAACTTGATCCCGCCCCAAAAGAAAAGGCACCGGCAAAGACAACTTCTTAAGCTTGTAATTTTATTTTTTTCAATTCTCAGAACTCTTTAAAAAAAAAAAATTCTGATTATAAATATAGGTATGCATTAAAAAAAAAAAAAATCTGTTGGAATAATGATAGGAAATAGTTACAGCGTCTCCAAATGCTTAAGCTCCTCTACTTCTTTAGGTATAAAACCAGTTAAAGCGGCGCCAGTAAAAGAACTGCAACACAAATCATTTGAGAAAAATTCTTCTTAGACTATTATTATTAAAAAAAGCTCGAACAGTGCGCATCATGAGATGACATTGTTAAAAAAAAGCCCGAACGAGTGCTCTATATATATTATATTAATTTTATTGTGACTTACAAATCTTTGATATGGCAATAGCTGTTTTTGCCTTGTCCACAGTCATCTGTGCAATTGATCTTCAAATTGTTAGTATCCAAGCCTGCATAGTGGCAAATTGAGCTATTGGAGTATGATGGCCCGTTATACTGTAACTTATCTAGGATCAAATCGAGGACGACCACTGCGAGCGAGAGAGAGAGAGAGAGAGAGAGAGTGTTAATATCTCAAACTCGAGCTGTAGCGTCAAAGATTGTGAAATAAAGCAAAACTAAAATGAGTCCACGTGCATATATGTATTATCAACAAAACAAGGGTATGTCTGGTAACATTTTCACAATACATTTTCGAAAAATGAAAACGAGAAATGAATTTGCATTTTCAAGACCCGAGAATATATTCAAAAAAACAAAAACAGTGGAAATGTGTTTGGTACTTCAATATGAGAATAACATAAACAACAATGAATATGTCACATCTTTTAGGGCCCGTTTGGTATCTTACTTAAAAATCGAAATAAAAAACAATGATTCTTTCTAAAAATATAGTTTTCAAATACTCATTTTTAAGATCTAAAAACTTGTTTGGTATCCAACTTTAAAATTATTTTTAAATCTTAAAATTTTGAATTATAAAAAATAAAAAAATATAAAAAACCAAAATCATGGGCAAGAGAATATTGATAGTGCCGTCGTTGCTCTCCTTCTCGTGGTCTGATAAGGCCACCTTGAAATCAAACGCTTCGTTTTGCTTTGTAGGTCCTAGCTAGATGATTAAAAGTTTCTTGCGGAACTCTTAATCAAGAATAATAAAGAACACAATGATTATGGAGAATGGAATAGAATCGAATGAAAACTGATTGATTAATTCAGTCTAACATTCGATTTATATACAGAATGAGTTTTTCTAAAAATGGAAAACTAAAAATAACAATTGATTTCCTTACATCATGTATGGTTTTAAAAGTTCAATTAATATAAACCTTTAAGTTTGAGTAGTTTCAAATCCATTAGGTTTGAACTGCAAACTTTTAATGGGTTTATAATAATTAAATAAAATGATAATTAAGTAACATAATATTAATATTATATTGTATTACGTACGGAAGATCCACCTGGATCACCCGATGAACGAGCACTTTCCAGTGCCGTCCTCTATTTTGAGCACAAAGTATAGCAATGAGTCGAGCACGGTCTCGTGCTGGCCCGGGTGGATGAAGCAGGCGGCGAATACCCGAGCATATTTTTCGATCTTAAGTAGCTCTCATAACAAAATATTTATTAATTCAAAATGAGAGAAATGTGAATAAAAAGAGAAAGGGATGAGAAACAAAATAGTTGTATACCTTCTTCAGGATCCAACTCAGTAGTTGTCTCGGAAGATCCATGCCTAAAACCAAACTGCGAAAGGAGGAGACTCAGGAGCATATACTCAACAAGAAGTCTTGGACGGGTTTCAACCATTGTGCTTTGCTTTCAGATTCTAGTTCACTTTGGCTATACGCACACTAAGCCTTCTTCCCCTTTTTATAAAGCAACAGGTTGTACCATCTCTCTTTTTTCTTATAAATAATTTAACAGACAATACTGATCTATTATAAAGCAACATGTCAGATATGAGGGGGGACCATGCATTTCTCACTTGTCAGATATGATGTGGGGGGACCATGCATTTCTCACTTGTCAGAGTAGTCGACTCTTTGTAAAAGCCTTTTTAAAGAAATATGAGGGTTTTAGTAAAAGTCCTTTAATAATAAGGATTCTCACAAGTGCAGCGGCGGAAATGACTTGTGAGTATAAGTCCTATCAGTGACATTAATACTGACCAGCTTTTGCAAATTAGCCTGTATAGGCTTGTCTCTGACACAAGTCATAAAGTGACTTCAATTTGTTACTAACAAAACAAATGGCCAGTATTAAACAAACTTTTGTGAGGATGATTGTTTGGATACAAGTGGGCAAACATTCGCCAGGGTTGTTTGTCAATTCAATTCTTTTCTGTATTATATGTTGTCGAACTTACAACTCTTTGCCATAGCAATATCCGCGGTTCTGACATTTCTGAAATTAGAGGTCACTATTCTCCAAACTATTCGTGTACGAGTCTTGAAATCTGCAGCTATTGATGTTTAACCGGTTACCGTACTGCAAATTATTTACCATAAACTTCTCATCTTCTCTTAATTTAATTCTACCTCGAATTTGAAGGAGTTTGTTTTTGTCAAATTTGTTCAATTGGCATAGTTTGCTGTTATTCGTAGTTGGATTGTTGGAAATGTGGTTTTCCCCAAATCTGTCAGAGGTTTTGCATTGACTTAAAGGCTAGATGCGTTAATGAAGTTCATTTAGGCTTAAGTGTTGTTATAGGGCATTGGTTATTTTGAGTTTATAGGCTTTATTTGAGATTATGTTTCATTGTAGTGATGTGTGTTAGTACTTATTGGTGTACCTGCTTTAATTTGATTGAAAAAAAAAAAAGTTTGGGAAAAATCTCAAATTGAAGGTTAAACACCCGAAAAGAAAAGAAAAAGAACTTTTAAGGGCAAGCTTTGATGAGGCTGGGGTATATATTGAGCTAAGGTGGTGAGCTAAAATGAACTCATATATTTTAAGAGTTGTGAAAAAAGAAAAAAGAAAAAAAAAAAGTTGAGCCGTGAAGGAGTTGGGAAAGAATTTGCCCCCACACTCAGTACCATAATTAGAATGCCCCTCCTCCTATGGTCTCCCTTGTAACCAAAGCCATAAAGAAAAAAAGAAACCAATATTGAATATATACTTACAGATAAGTAAGATTGCGCAAGTGTCCAATGCGCTCTGATATGCCTTCTGTCAATTGATTTCTTGAAATGTCTCTGAATATATGAAAACTTAATTAATATGCATTCATATAAATTCAATAAATATGTATATGTTTTGAGGCAAGGTCTGACCCTCAAGTGAATCCTTAAGTCCTTATCTATATTTATGTATATACACTTACAATTCTATGAGGGATGACAAATTCCACAAGCATACATAATCAACATTAATATTTTCATATAATACATGCAATGGATTCATCGTTAAAGAAGAATGGAAGAAAATTAAATTGTATACCAAGTTAATATACTTAATAAATAAGAAAACTAAATTGTATACATTTAGTGGCTTGGTTTCCCTCTTTCGTAACAATTAATAGAAGGGACTGGTTGAAAGATTTTTTTGAAAAAAAGAAAGATGTAAAATATCCAAGCTCAACTTGATCCCGCACCAAAAGACAACTTCTGAAGCTTGTAAATTTTTTTCTTTCAATTCTCTGAACTCTTCTTTTTTTTATTTTTTTTTTATATTTTTAAAAGCTGATTATAAATATAGGTATGCATTGAAAAAAAAAAAAACTGTTGGAATAATGATAGGAAATAGTTACAGCGTCTCCAAATGCTTCTCCACTTTTTTAGGTATAAAAGCCGTTAAGGCGGCGCCAGTAAAAGAACTGCAACACAAATCATCTGAGAAAAATTATTCTTAGAATATTATTATTAAAAAAGCCCGAACAGTGCGCATCATGAGATGACATTGTCAAAAAAAGCCCAAAGCGTGCTCTATATATATTATATTAATTTAATTGTGACTTGCAACTCTTTGATATGGCAACTTTTATTGACATGTCCACAGTCCTCTGTGCACGTGATCTTCAAATTGTCAGTATCCGAGTCTAGTTGATCGCACCTTGAGCTACTGGGGTATGACAGCCCGTTATACTGTAACTTATCTAGGATCGCATTGAGGACGTCCCCTGCGAGAGAGAGAGAGAGAGAGAGAGAGAGAGAGTTAATATATCTCAAATTCGAGTTGCAGCATTAAGAATGTGAAATAAAACAAAACTAAAATGAGTCCACATGCATGTATGTATTATCAACAAAACAAGGGTATGTCTGGTAACGTTTTCTCAATACATTTTTGAAAAATGTAAATCAAAAACAAATTTGCATTTTTAAGATCCGAGAATGTGTCTAGTAACTTAATTAAAAATATATTCAGAAAACAAAAATAGTGTAAATGTGTTTGGTATTTCAATATGAGAATAGCATAAACAACAAGGAATATGTCACATCTTTCAATTTTTTCTTGACTTTGGGCTGAATAAGTAGCTCTCTATGAAATATAAAATCATAACAAAATATTTATTAATTCAAATGAGAGAAATATGAATAAAAAATAGAGACAGATGAGAAACAAAAACAGTCGTATACCTTCATCAAGATCCAAATAAGTGGTTGTATCCGAAGATCCATGCCTAAAACCAAACTGCCAAAGGAGGAAACTCAGGAGCATAAACTCAGCAAGAAGTCTTGGACGGGTTTCAACCATTGTGCTTTGCTTTCAGATTCTGGTTTACATTGATAATATGCACACTATGTTAACCAATATCAAAAGAAGAACTATGAAGAACAATTTCTAGAGAGAGAGAATGAGATATCTGGAATAGAGAGAGAGAGAGAGCACAGAAAAATGAACTTTCTTTCTTAATGAATAGGTAAAATCAGAATACACTACTTATACACAGCCATCTTAACTAACTAACTATCACATCTTCTAATCTTATGCCAAGTGTCACAATCCTACTCTAACATCCCCCCTCAATCTCACGCTAGGATAAACCAAGCATGAGATTGTGACAATGAGTATGGAAGAGAGGAGCACTTAAGCCTTTGGTGAATATATCAGCAAATTGCTCTCTGGAAGACACAAACTGCACAAAGAGCTGTTGTTTGGCCACTCGTTCCCGAACAAAATGAACATCGATCTCAATATGTTTGGTCCTCTGATGCAGAACGGGATTGAAGGATAAAGCAATTGCGGATAGGTTATCACAAAAAAGCACCGGTTGCTGAGCAATGGGAACCTGCAAAAACACCAGTAATTGTTTGATCCAGTCAAGTTCTGCAGAAGTAGTTGACAAAGCACGATATTCTGCCTCAGTGGAAGATCGAGAAACAGTCTGTTGCTTCTTAGAAGACCAAGACACAGGATTGGAACCAAGAAACACAACCAAACCAGTAGTGGACCGCCGATCATTTGGATCTCCTGCCCAGTCAGCATCACTAAATGCTGTTAAGTTCAAGTTTCCCCGAGTATAGCTAAGGCCGAAGTGCAGTGTACCCTTCAAGTACCGAAGAATCCGCTTGACGGCTGTGAAATGTGACACCATTGGATTTTGCATAAATTGACAAACTTGATGCACAGAAAATGCAATATCAGGTCGGGTGAAAGTCAGATACTGCAAAGCTCCGACAATACTGCGATACAAGGTGGGGTTCCCATAAGGCTGACCATCATCTTTGAGCAATCGGTGATAAGGAAGGCAAGGAGTATCACACGCTTTGGCTTCAGTCATTTCAGTTTTGACAAGGAGATCTTGGACATACTTAGACTGTGACAAAAACAATCCAGAGTCGGTACGAGAAATTTGGATTCCCAAAAAATAATGCAAATCTCCTAAGTCTTTGAGCTCAAACTCAACTGTGAGAGAATGAATAACCTTGTGAATTTCACTGAGAGCACTGCCAGTAATTATGATATCATCCACATATACCAATAAGATGACAATACCAGAATCCACTTGTTTCACAAATAGAGAGGAGTCAGAGTATGTATGTTGAAACCCCAATGTAGGTAAAAAGGAAGTGAACCTGTCATTCCAGGCTCGGGGAGCCTGTTTTAACCCATATAAAGATTTATGAAGTTTGCAAACCAAAGTTGGATGATGAGAATCCCTAAATCCAGGAGGTTGAGCCATGTACACCTCTTCTTGGAGAATACCATGCAAAAAAGCATTCTTGACATCGAGTTGGCGTAACGGCCAACCAAAATGGGCAGCAAGAGCTAAGACAATCCGCACTGTAGTTGGTTTAACGACAGGACTGAAAGTTTCCCCATAATCTTGACCTGGTTCTTGACTGAACCCTTTAGCAACCAATCGCGCCTTATGTCGTGCAATAGACCCATCTGCATGTTTTTTAATCTTAAAAATCCACTTACATCCCACCAGATTCTTGTCAGGAGGTAATGGCACCAAACTCCAGGTCCCCTGAGAATGAAGAGCATCGACTTCCTCTTTCATAGCAGTCAACCAAACGGGCACTTTTAAAGCTGACTTGTAAGTGGCAGGCTCAACTAAGGATAAATCAACACCCCCAGACTCCTGTAGAGTTGTTAGAAAAACCTTCTTCTTCACAATGCCACTTTTACTTCGAGTTTGCATGGGATGCAGATTCATAGGAGGAACCTCAAGAACTATTTGCATGGAGTCAGGTTGAAAAGAATCAGCCAATGGTAAAGTGTCAGTTGGCAGAGCTCCAACATTGGACTCAGGTGCCACAGGGATTGATGATAAAGATGGAGATGCACCAGTAATGGACAGAGGTGATGGTAAAGAGGATGGAGCAGGAGTATTGCGAGGTGAAATGAAAGCATCTGATGCA